CATTTGCTCAGCGGCTGATGTACAGGGCCTTGACTGAGGTTCACCAAGGCGAAGAAGGAAAGTTGTATTCTGCTGAGTTCCTGTCAGTCAAGCATGCATCCAGACCCCATCCCAAACACCTCTTTCCATCATCTGTCCTCAGGGCACCGACAACCCCACAGCTTCCCATCTGTTTGCTGAGCAGCTAAAGGCACTTCGGGAGAAGGATGGTTTTGGAGCCGTGCTTTTTTCCAGCCACGTGCGCAAGGTCGGTATTTGGCCTGGGGGTCACGGGGGACAAAGATCCGAGGGACACAAGAGACCTGAGGCAGCCTCAGCCCAGCTCTGGTTACTTCTGACATTTAGAAACCATCATCCTTGGTCAGTCAGTGAGGAAAGGACATAGAGAGGGAGGAAGTTGGGGTGGCTGGGCCTGGAGAAGGCTGGGCAGTACCAGCCTGGGCCCAGCCAGCTCTTCTGCAGGTGAATCGCTTCCGAAAGAGCCGGGACCGGGCCCTCCTCCTCACAGACCGGCATCTCTACAAGCTGGAGCCTGGACGACAGTACCGGGTGATGCGGGCTGTGCCCCTGGATGCGGTGAGCACTGTAGACGTTCTGCATCACCTATAGAGTGTCTGTGAGGACCCTGGGCTGGGAGCCTTACCTCGCCACCTCCATTGTTTACCTCTGATGGGTAGTCCAGATCATCCTCAGCCAGTGGGTGGCAGCACTCCTCTGAAAACCACATAGCGGCTTTCTTTCTCAAGTGCCTCGGCTCCCCCACCTCATACTTTCATCCTCTAACCAAATGGCCCCTCTCTCTGCCTTTGCTGTCTTAGGGCATCTCCTGCCTGTGTAGATCTGAGCCCTCACCAAAGCTTTTAGCCACCTCCTCTGGGACCTGTCCCTTCCTCTGTCTGGCCCTATGGCTACTTGGTCCTGTGCATGGCAGCTTTGTTCCCAAGAATCTTCTTTCTCATAGGACAAGAAGCAGCCTGGGCCAAGGATGAGGCTGTGTTACCTCTGGGTCTCCCAACCCCAGTGACTCCATTGCTAAGAGAGTCAAAGGACCCCTGGTGTCACTCTGTGTGATACAGTAGCGATATCCCATTGCATGACGTCATGCCAACCCTCCCCTCTGTCAGCAGGGATCAGAGAGGGGAGGTAGGGATGGCAGAGGGGTGGCTGGACACTCTGCCAAGGGCAGGGCTTCCGAGGTGGGGCTCAGGAAAGTCCTCCTGTAAGGAAGTGGTTGGCTTGATGTGCCCCTGACCCCAAGCTGTTTGCTCAGGTGACAGGGCTGAGTGTGACCAGTGGACGAGACCAGCTGGTAGTGCTGCATGCCCAAGGCTATGATGATCTTGTAGTGTGTCTACACCGTTCCCAGCCACCGCTAGACAATCGCATTGGGGAGCTGGTGGGCATGCTGGCTGCCCACTGCCAAGGGTGAGTCCCGGGTCATTTTGGGAAGTGGGCATACAGAGCTTCGCCACCCTGACCCTCTGCTCTTCCTGCTACAGGGAGGGACGAACCCTGGAGGTCCGGGTCTCTGACTGTATCCCACTGAGCCAGCGTGGGGCCCGGCGCCTCATCTCTGTGGAGCCCAGGCCAGAGCAGCCTGAGCCAGATTTCCGATGCAGCCGCAGCGCCTTCACCCTCCTCTGGCCAAGCCACTGAGCAAACCAAAGCCAGTCTAGCTTGGTTTCCACACAGTTCTAAAAACACCTGGCCTTGCCTTGGCCACACGAAAGGCCAGGACTTGTCCACCCCTGCCTGGAACATCACATAATAAAGATGCTATATTTGTGCCTAGTGTGGCTGCCACTGCCTTGGCCAATGTTTACCCAGCATTCTCTGCTCATCCACAGGGGTCCCACATAAACTAAAGCAGGAGGCCCGAGGACCCGGTCTGAAGTGGGTGACAAGACCCCAGAGGCTGGCGCCCCAACCCAGAGACAGGCTACATTTAGAGCCCATGGTTTGAGGGAAGTGCTCTCCATAAACCTGCTTCCCCGGACACCCAAGGCAGCTCCCATGGTCTCCAGGCTTTATACCTCTGCAGCCCTTGTCTCTCTCCTTCCTTACCCATTGGGATTATGGCCCTTGGTGCTCCAGGACAGGACAGAGCAGCCCTGAGGTCTTACAGGGTGTGCTGCTGGACAACCATGACCCAGCTGCTAACTGTCCAGGTTGGGTGTTGGGCAATAGTATAACATCTGAAGTGACAGGATCTCTTCTGGGCGAGCTATTGGAGAACAGGGCTTAGCAGCCAGGATCCCCTTCACTGGAAAGTAACGCCGCATCTGGATTTATGGGTCAGCCACTAAGGGAGGGCAGGGTAGACACATTTCCATGTCTCCGGTCAGCTAAGCACATCTCCAGCATTGTTCCTGCTCCTGCTAGGCCTTCAGTGCCTCTCAGACCCTTCTACCCCCTTCAGTTCTCCTCAGCCCCTCAGCCCTTCAGCCTCCCACAGCGCCCCCAGTCCTTTGGTATCCTACAGTCTTTCAGAGCTCTTCTATTTTCTTTTCTTTGTTTTTTGGCAAGGTAGTCCATATCAGTGTGGAACTTTATAGCCCAGATCAGCCTCAGATTCATGACAGCACTCTTCCCAAGTGTGGGGATTATAGGCAAGCACCACCTCACCATCAGTTTCTCATCCCTTTAGGTCCTTAGTCCCACAGATCCTCAGCTCCCCAGCCCCATAGCCCTTCAGACTCTTGGACTCCATAGCTCCATAGACTCCCAGTCTCTCAGACGCATGGCCCCCAGATTTACAGACCCACAGACCTTGAGATCCTTATACACTTAGTCCCTTAGCCCTATATCCTGAGACCATCAAACCCTCAACTCTGCAAACCTCATACCCATAGCCCCTCAGCCCCTCAGGTCCACAGACCTACATACACATCCTCGGCCCCTGTGCTGGCTAGTTTTTGTCAACATGGCGCAAACCAGAGTAATACCAGAAGAGGGAAACTCGACTGAGGAATTACCTCCATCAGCCTGGCTTTTGGGCATGTCTGTGGGGCATTTCTTAACTAACGATTGAGGTGAGTGGGCCTGGCCCACTGTGGGCGGTGCCAGCCCCTGAGCAGGTGGTCCTGGGTTGTGTGAAAAGGCAAACTGAGCAAATTCTGGAAAGCAAGCCGATAGCAGCACTCCTCCGTGGTGCCTGCTTCGATTCCTGCCTCCAGGTTCCTGCCTCTACTCTCCTGCCTGGGCTTTCCTTACAGTATAGGGTGTAAGGCAAACAAAGCATTTCCTCCCCTAAGTTGCTTTGGGTCATGGTATTTATCACAACAATGGAAAGCTAACTAAGACAGTGCTCCCAGCCCCCAAGTCTTCAGCCTCTCAGTCCCTCCCTCAGACTCTGCAAGCCTCTCAGCAGCTCAGTCTGCATCCTCTTCTCAAAGGTATGAGCCCAAGGGTCTCATAGCTCAGGCCATCTATACCTCAAGCTCCCTCTTTGTTTTATATTTATTTGTTTGTTTGTTGAGACAGGGTCTCACTGTGTAGTCCTGACTGGTCCGGAATTCACAAACTCTTTTATTTTATTTATTGCTGTGTGTATATGTGTAGGGCCAAGGCCCATATATATCCACACTTGCCACAGCATGTGTATGAACATCAGAGGATTTAGAAGTCAAAGTCAGTTTCCTAACTTCCACTATAGAATCCAGGCATTGAACTCAGGCTGTCAAGCTTGCATGGATGTTCACCAGGCTGGCCTAAACTCACAGATCTGCCTGCCACCGAGCCCCAAGTGCTGAGATTAAAGGTGTGCATCACCACGCCTCGCTCCTTTTTGTGTCGGGGCCTTGTTAAATCGCTCAGGCTGGCCTTGAGTTTACAGTGGTCCTGTTTCAGCCTCCCAGGTAGCTGGGGTTATATGCACCACCACATCCTCTTCTTTTCTGGGGCATAAATCAGGAAGAAGGAGTTTGTCCTTTGATGTCATTTTATTGTGGAGACCAGCATCTGTGACCATGACCTTTGGCTAAGGCATGAAGTCTCAGAACTGTCTAGTCTAGTCTCTCAGTTCCCCAAGGCTTTCTCAGGCCATATGGCCAGGCATCTGCAGGCGCTACTAGTCTGAGTGACCTCCCACAAGCCCCAAGAACTCACCACATACCCAACCTCTAGATCTGTAGCAGCTTTCAGGCTGGGCCAGGCTTGTCCCTTACAAATCAATTAGACAGAAAGGGTACCTTTTAAAAACATTGTTTTTGAGACAGGATCTCACAATGTAGCTGTGACTGGCCTGGAACTTGCTATGTAGACCAGGTTGGTCTCAAACTCACAGAGATCTGCAGGCCTCTGCCTACCAACTGCTGAAATTAAAGGTATGTGCCAACACTCTCAGCAAAAGATTTTATCTTTAAGATTATGTGTATGTGTATATTGGTGTGTGCCTATGAATAAAGGCCATTTTATTTTTCCCAAATAAATAGGTTTTTTTCTTCTCTTTAAAAATTTTCTGTGTGAAACTGGCGGTGGTAGCACACGCCTTTAATCCCAGCACTCGGGAGGCAGAGGCAGGCGGATCTCTGTGACTTTGAGGCCAGTCTGGTTTACAGAGTGAGATCCAGGAAAGGCGCAAAGCTACACAGAGAAACCCTGTCTTGAAAAACCAGAAAAAAAAAAAAAAAAAAAAAAAGAGCTTGTTTTCACTAACTCTTCTCTGATTTCCTGTCTTAACATTTTTTTAAACTATATATTTTTTTAAATTTTTACTTTTATTTTGCAATACAATTCAGTTGTACATATCAGCCACGGATTCCCTTGTTCTCCCCCCTCCGGTCCCCTCCCCTTCCCCCCAGCGCACCCCCCATTCCCACCTCCTCCAGGGCAAAGCCTCCCCCGCGGACTGAGATCAACCTGGTAGACTCCAGGCAGGTCCAGTCCCCTCCCCTGTCTTAACTTTTAAATTCTTTTAATTATCCCTCTGGTAAATAAAAAGGCCTTTCTTTCTTTTTTTCCACAATAAATTTTATTATAAAAACAGGCTGGTGTGGGGACAGAGGAAAAGACAAATAGGTCTGGGTTAGGTGGTTCAGGTGAAGTAGTGCGGCTTCTTCACCTCGATACCATATTCTCTGAGGGCAGGGGTCAAGTCCTCCATGGTAAGGGTGTACTTGCTGTCCTTCCTCTTGCTCGGAGAGCTGCCAGAGGCGGCGGCCTTCATTTTGCAGTGCTGTAGGGCGTCGTTGGCAATATCTGAGATGAACTTCTGGGCAGCTAGTGAGATGAGCCGAATTATGCGTGGGTCTGAAGCTTCAAAGCCAGCACGGTTCAGGTAATAACCAGTCACTGCATCCGGGATCGTAGGAGTGTAATCCTCCAGCTGCATCAAGAGGTCCGCCAGAGGCGTGCTGGACGCTACGGGCTTCACTTCTCGGTTGGCCTTGCTCGGCAGCGCATAAACCCCCTTAGACATTGCCCCTTCGGGATGAGCCCTGCCGCCCGCTGCCACCGAGGCCTGCCCAGGCCGCCTCTCGGCAGGCTCCCTGGCTCGCGATGCCATGGGGCCGGTGGCCCTAGTGGTGGCTCCAGCCCCGGGTCCCCCTGCCGTCCCCGCAGGGCTGGCCTTGCTCTCCGAGGCAGTGTTGGTGGTGGGCAGCACGGCAGAAGCCAATACCGGGCGCGCCCGACCCGCGACCGAGGCGGCACACGCTGCTGCCGCCTCGGGGTCCTTACCGGAGCCGCTGCAGCTCTTGGTGCTGGTGGGAGAGGCGGTGAACCAGGCTTTTGACATTTTTGACAAACCTTCCCAAGATCAGATCCTCTGTCTAAAATCCCTTTGAGGCAGGGCGGTGGGGCAACACTCCTTTAATCCCAGCAGTCGGGAGGCAGAGGCAGGAGGATCTCTGAGTTTGAGGCCAGCCTGGTAAGACACTCGTTCCAGGTCTTCCCGTGGCAGCAGGGGTAAGACAGTCACTTCAGGTTCCAATGCTCACAGTGTCTTGCCTAGCTATTCTGACCCTTATATCCACGTCTCCTTGGCTTTCCCTTTGGAGCCCCACCTCTTAGACACAAGCTGCCACCTGATTGGATGAGGAAGTTCTCACCCATTTAATCGGAGCCCCACCTCTTAGGCACAAGCTGCCACCTGATTGGATGAGGAAATTCTCACCCACATAATCTAACTATTTGGGATTTTGCATCAGTAATTTGAGTGAATCAAACCATACTTTGGTAATGGATGAAATCTGAGATGATGGTCAAGGTCCCAGGTTCATCCATAATACTCCTCCTCAAAGTCTGAGCTCTAGGATTCATCCTCTTATTTACATTATTACTTTGGTAGATTTTTTTTTTCCATTTAATGTCTCACACTATACCTTAGGCCCATCTGGAACTCTTACTGTACTCTGAGCCCACCTGTATGGGTCTCAGGAATCCTCCTGTCTCAGTAGACCATATGTAATCAGGTATGTCGAGACTGATTAGATTTCCATGCAGAATAGAGAATGAATTGAGACCACTTTGAAGACAACGTCCCACATGCAGAGTCACTGCACAAACACAAAGATTTGCTTCTCTGTGGTGATATTGTGTTCCCCCAAATATTGTGCACCCTAATAAACTTATCTGGGGTCAGAGAACAGAACTGCCACTAGATAGACATAGAGGCCAGAAAATGGTCACATACACACCTTTAATCCTAGCATTCCTAAGGCAGAGATCCACTCGGATCTCTGTGAGTTCAAGGCCACACTGGAAACAGCCAGGAATGGTGACTCGAGCCTTTAATCCCGGGAAGTGATGGCAGAAAGCAGAAAGGTATATAAGGTGTGAGGACCAGAAACTAGAAGCTTTGGGCCTGGTTAAGCTTTTAGACTTTTGAGCAGCACTCAGCTGAGATTCATTCTTGATAAGGACTCAGAGGATTCCAGTCTGAGGAAACAGGATTAGCTGAGGAATTGGTGAGATTCCTGCTACACTCCTCCCTCCCTCCCTCCCTCCCTCCCTCTTTCCCTCCCTCCCTTCCTTCCTTCCTATCTAGAGTAGGATACACCCAGGACCTGTCTGGACAACAGCAACAAAAAGCCTCAGAGGAGCAGCCAAGGTGAGGTCTGTGGATGGCCCCCAAACAGCTTGACCACACAGCCACCATGACAGGCTTAGAGGCCCAGACACAGCTTCTGGCAGGCAACCTCTGAACCCAGAAAAGCCATAAACTGACCCCACCCAGTGGGGGGCCTACATCTAAGAGGAAATGCCTGACATTCCAAACATTCCCTATACCCCTAGACAAATGTCACCCAATCAGGACCCTGAACCCTGGAAATCCCCTCACCCCACACTGCCTTGGCTCTGGGTTCTCTGTTCTCCCTGAAGAATTGGACAGACACTCTAAGCTGCAAGCTTGAAATAATAAAGGCTCTTTGGTTTTCATACGGGATTCTTCATAGTGGTCTTTTGGGGGTCCCTGCAATCTGGGCATAACAAGGTCCAGTGTCCTGAAGCTGGGGTGGGGGAGACTGGGGAGCACTGCTCAACCTCCCGTGGATCTCATATCTCTATGAAACTGGTCTACATCTTCAGACAGTGACCACAGGGAGATGCCACTCAATATTCCCTCAGGCAGTCAAGTAGCCCAAGGTGGCCCATAGATATTTCTTCTTCTTCTTCTTCTTTTTTTTTTTTTTAAGATTTATTTATTATGCATATAGTGTTCTGTCTGCACATATCCCTGAAGGCCAGAAGAGGGCACCAGATCTCATTACAGATGGTTGTGAGCCACCATGTGGTTGCTGGAAATTGAACTCAGGACCTTTGGAAGAGCAAGCAGTGCTCTTAACCTCTGAGCCATCTCTCCAGGTCCTAGATATTTATTCTTGATTTCTCAGATGAACATATTTAAGATCTGGTATTGAGCCATCTTGAGTTGTATACCAGACAGGCCAAAGCAGGAGGATTGCAAGATCATGGCCTGCTGTGGATATCGTTCTGTATAAAGAAAACACTGATTGGCCAATGGCCAGGCAGGAAGTATAGGCAGGACAAGGAGAGAGGAGAATTCTGGGAAGTGGAAGGCTGAGTGGGAGTCACTGCCAGTCACCGCCATGACAAGCAGCATGTGACGATGCCATGACAAGAAGCATGTGAAGATGCCGGTAAGCCACGAGCCACGTGGCAAGGTATAGATTTATAGAAATGGATTAATTTAAGATATAAGAACAGTTAGCAAGAAGCCTGCCACAACCATACAGTTTGTAAGCAATATAAGTCTGTGTTTACTTGATTGGGTCTGAGTGGCTGTGGGACTGGCGGGTGACAGGGATTTGTCCTGACTGTGGGCCAGGCAGGAAAACTCTAACTACAATGGCCTAGCCTTGTGTGTTATGCCCAGGGCTCTAGTTCTAATTTTGCCCTTATCCCATTCAAGATTATCAGAAAAATTGAATAGACAAACAGTATTCTGAATCTTAACTTACTTAAACTAAATCACCTCAGCCAGCAAGATGGCTCCTGATAAAGGTGCCTGCCCTACCTGAGTTAAATTTTTAGAACCAATACAGTTAGTGGAAGGAGAGAGTCAGCTCACACAAGTTGTCTCCTTGCCTACACATACAAATTAAATATGTAGTAAACCGGTTGACTATCTTATGTCAGGCAAAAGTCTTCCACTAGTCTTAATGGCCTCTAGAGCCACTCCTGTACGAACACCAAAACTGGTCAATTCTAGTAGCTCAGGCCTTTAATCCCATCACAGGTGGGACAGAAACAGGTGGATTTCCATGAGTTTGAGGCCATCCTGGTCTTCTAGTTTTTTCAGCCCAGCTAGGGGTGAAGCAAATATCTAAGTGGACTCCTCTTGAAGACCCCTGACTTTGATGATGAACTCAGTGTCTCCCTTGCCCTTCCTGGCTCTAATATGATCAGCTTCAAGGCTTTGGTACACTCCTCAGGAACAGATTTCAACCAGCATAACGACCTACCAACAAATGTGAGACAATCTCTGAGCTTGAGCCTGAATCAAGCATTTCTTTACTTCTTTGGGGCTGAGGAGCCAACCCAGGACTTTGAATATACTGAATCTGTTCATCATCACTCAGCTGTATGCAAAGCCACTTTTCTCAAGCCACCTTGTACAGTACCATGCCAGTTGATATCAAATGGGCAATATATATCAGTAAGCCTTCCCCTAGATTCAGGCCACATCATTCAGTAGACACTTGCCTAAGATGCTCAAACAAGACTCCATCTGACATAGGTTTTGTTTTGTTTGTTTTTTTAGACAGGCTCTGACTATGTGGACCAAGCTGTTTTAGAACTCACAGAGATCTACTTGGCCCTGCCTTGCAGGGATTAAAGGCCTGCCCCACCACACCAGGCCTAAGCATTGGTTTTGTTTTGCACTAACGTATTCAAACTTACGCTTTTATTTCTGTTCAACTGAACATCCCATAGTCCACTATTAAGTTATAGTCACTCAGTAACCCGAGCAACACGAAGTATGGTCTCCATATGTCTTAAGATGAATGAGCTGACTCTGGTAGCACAGGGTGGCAGGATGTGCTTGAAGATCTGGAGGCAGGAGTTGAGGTTGGTGAGAGACAGCTCAATGGGGGAAGGTCTTTCAGTCAAGCCTGAGTTCAATCCCTAGGACCCACAAGCTGAAAGGAGGAACCAGCCCCTGCAAGTGCCATGTGCACGTTATGGCAGACACAGAGTCCCCACCACCCCCCCCAAAAAAAATGAATCCAATAATCTTTTTTCAAAAGATAAACGAGAAGAATCTAGAATCAGAAGCAGCTCTCACATACATTTGGAGAACAGTTCAGGAAGCTGGGTTGAGAAAAGGCTTGGATCCTTGACAGGACACTTGGCACTGGGAGGGAGCTAGAGAAGCAGAGGGTGGCCTCTGATGAACCTTGGTTTCATTTCAGGCCATTTAACTTTGTGCATGGAGGACCTTAAGACTGAGGTGGAATCTTGGGCAATGTTCTGGCTTCCTCTGTCACACTCTTTGTATTGTTGTTGGGAATAAGATAACAAATTCAACATACCAGTGACTCTGTCTTCCACATATAGAAGCTGTGGCCCACACATGACCACACTCATACAGATAGGCACACAGAATAAACAAATATAACCAAAAATAAATAAAGAGGACAAGGCATGGTGACTCATAGTTTTTTCTTTTTTCTTTTTCTTTTTTTTTTTATTATCAGCTTGATACAGGACAAATTCTTATCCTAATAGTGAAATGTTTCACTGAAGCTTGCCTAGTGATTGAGTAAAACCAAAACTTATTATAAACCACACTCATCCTAGGGTCCCCGCTGCTATGTAGCCTCCCTGGTTTTGTGGGTTGCAGTCTGATTGTTCTTTGCTTTATATCTAGTATCCACTTATGAGTGAGTACATACCATGTTTGTCCTTCTGGGTCTGAGTTACCTCACTCAGGATATTTTCTAGTTCCATCCATTTGCCTGCAAATTTCATGCTGTCATTGTTTTTCTCTGCTGAGTAGTACTCCATTGTGTATATGTACCACATTTTCTTTCTTTCTTTTTTTTTTTTTTGTTTTGTTTTGTTTTTCAAGACACGGCTTCTCTATGTAGCTTTGTGCCTTTCCTGGAACTCACTTGGTAGCCCAGGCTGGCCTTGAACTCACAGAGATCCACTTGGCTCTGCCTCCCGAGTGCTGGGATTAAAGGTATGCGCCACGACTGCCCGGCCATACCACATTTTCTTAATCCATTCTTCAGTTGACGGGCATCTAGGTTGTTTCCAGGTTCTGGCTATTACAAATAGTGCTGCTATGAACATAGTTGAGCATGTATCTTTGTGGTATGATTGAGCATTCCTTGGGTATATGCCCAAGAGTGGTATGGCTGGGTCTTGAGGTAGATCGATTCTCAATTTTCTAAGAAACAGCCATACTGATTTCCACAGTGGTTGTACAAGCTTGCATTCCCACCAACAGTGGAGGAGTGTTCCCTTTGCTCTGCATCCTCTCCAACATAGACTGTCATTAGTGTTTTTGATCATAGCCATTCTGACAGGTGTAAGGTGTTATCTCAGAGTCATTTTGATTTGCATTTCTCTGATGATTAAGGAAGGATGTTGAGCATTTCCTTAAATGTCTTTCAGCCATTTGAGATTCTTCTTTTAAGAATTCTCCGTTTATCTCTTTAGCCCATTTTTTAATTGGATTGTTCAGTATTGTGATGTCTAGTTTCTTGAGTTCTTTATATACTGTGGAGATCAATCATCTGTCAGATGTGGGATTGGTGAAGATCTTTTCCCACTCTGTAGGCTGTCTTTTTGTCTTATTGACCATATCTTTTGCTCTGCAAAAGCTTCTCAGTTTCAAAAGGTCCCATTTATTAATTGTTGTGCTCAGTGTCTGTGCTGTTGGTGTTATATTTAGGAAGTGGTCTCCAGTGCCAATGCATTCAAGAGTACTTCCTACTTTCTCTTCTATTAAGTTTAGTGTAACTGGATTTATGTTGAGGTTTTGATCCACTTGGACTTGAGTTGTGTGCATGGTGACAGATATGGATCTATTTGTAATCTTTCACATGTTGACAAGCAGTTATGCCAGCACCATCTGTTGAAGATACTTTCTTTTTTCCATTGTATAGTTTTGGCTTCTTTGTCAAAAATCAGGTGTTCAGGGACTGGAGAGATGGCTCAGTGGTTAAGAGCACAGGCTGCTTTTCCAGAGGTCCTGAGTTCAATTCCCAGCAACCACATGGTGGCTCACAACCACTTTTAATGAGATCTGGTGCATTCTTCTGGCCTGCATGGACACATGCAGGCAGAATACTGTATACATAATAAATAAAAAAAATCTTTAAAAAAAAAGAAATAGATGGCAAAACAAAAACAAAAAAAAATCAGGTGTTCATATGTGCATGGATTAATGTCAGGGTCTTCAATTCGATTCCATTGGTCCATATGTCGGTTTTTATACGAGTACCAAGCTGTTTTTATTACTATAGCTCTATAGTAGAGCTTGAGGTCAGGGATGGTGATGCCTCCAGAAGTTGATTTATCATACAGGATTCTTTTAGCTATCCTGGGTTTTTTGTTTTTCCATATGAAGTTGAGTATTTTTCTTCCCAAGTCTGTGAAGAATTGTGTTGAGATTTTGATGGGGATTGCATTGAATCTGTAGATTGCTTTTGATAAGATTGCCATTTTTACTGTTAATCCTACCTATCCATGAGCATGGGAGATCCTTCCATTTTCTGACATCTTCTTCAATTTCTTTCTTTAGAGATTTAAAATTCTTATCAAAAAGGTCCTTCACTTGTTTAATTAGTGTTATCCCATGGTATTTTATATTATTTGGGCTATTGTAAAGGGTTATGTTTCTCTGACTTCTTTCTCAGCCCTTTTATCATTTGTGATTAGGAGGGCTACTAATTTTTTTGAGTTGATCTTGTATCCTGTCACTTTACTGAAGGAGTTTATCAGCTGTAGGAGTTCCCTGGTAGAATTTTTGGTGTCACTTATGTATACTATCATATCATCTGCAAATAGTGAAAGTTTGACTTCTTCCTTTACAATTTGTATCCCTTTGATCTCCTTTTGTTGTCTTATTGCTCTAGCTAGAATTTCTAGTACTATATTGAATAAATATGGAGAGAGTGGACAGCCTTGTCTTGTTCCTGATTTTAGTGGTATCGCTTTGAGTTTCTCTCCATTTAATTTGATGTTGGATGTTGGCTTGCTGCAAATTGCCTTTATTATGTTTAGGAATGTTCCTTGCATTCCTGATGTCTCTAAGACCTTTATCATGAAGGGGTGTTGGATTTTGTCAAAGACTTTTTCAGCATCTAATGAGATGATCATGTGGTTTTTTTCTTTCAGTTTGTTTATATGGTGTATTACATTGACAGATTTTCATATGTCGAACCATCCTTGCATCCCTGGGATGAAACCTACTTGGTTGTGATGGATAATTTTTTTTGATGTATTCTTCGATTCAGTTTGCCAATATTTTGTTGAGTACTTTTGCATCAATGTTCATGAGGGAGATTGGTCTGTAATTCTCTTTCTTTGTTGCATCTTTGTGTGGTTTGGGTATCAGGGTAATTGTAGCCTCATAAAAAGAGTTTGGTAGTGTTCCTTCTGTTTCTATTGTGTGGAACAACTTGAAGAGTTTTGGTATTAGTTCTTCTTTGAAAGTCTGGTAGAATTCTGCAGTGAAACCATCTGGTCCTGGGGTTTTTTTGGTTGGGAGACTTTTGATGACTGTTTCTATTTCTTTAGGGGTTATTGGTCTATTTAAATGGTTTATCTGGTCTTGATTTAATTTTGGTATGTGGTATCTATCCAGAAAATTGTCCATTTCTTCCAGATTTTCCAATTTTGTAGAGTACAGGTTTTTGAAGTATGGCCTGATGATTCTCTGGATTTCTTCATTGTCTGTTGTTATGTCTCCCTTTTCATTTCTGATTTTGTTAATTTGGGTGCTCTCTCTTTGCCTTTTGGTTAATTTAGCTAGGGGTTTGTCTATCTTGTTGATTTTTTCAAAGAACCAACTCTTTGTTTCATTGATTTTTTTGTATTGTTCTCTTGGTTTCTATTTCGTTGATTTCAGCCCTCAATTTGATTATTTCCTGGCGTCTATTTCTCCTGGGTGAGTTTGTTTCTTTTTACTCTAGAGCTTTCAGTTGTGCTGTTAATTCATTGGTATGGGATTTCTCCATCTTCTTCTTTTTTTTTTTTTAATTCGGAGCTGAGGACCGAACCCAGGGCCCTGTGCTTGCTAGGCAAGCGTTCTACCACTGAGCTAAATCCACAACCCTCCCCATCTTCTTTATGTGTGCATTTAGAGCCATGAATTTTCCTCTTAGCACTGCTTTCATAGTGTCCCATAAGTTTGGGTATGTTGTACTTTCATTTTCATTGAATTCTAGGAAATCTTTATTTATTTTCTTTATTTCTTCCTTGACCCATTGATGTTTCAGGTGGACATTATTCAGTTTCCATGAGATTGTAGGCTTTCTATAATTTTTGTTGTTGTTGAAGTCTAACTCTAAGGCATGATGGTCCGATAAGATACAGGAGGTTATTCCAATTTTTTTGCATCTGTTGAAATTTGTTTTGTGACCAAGCATGTGGTCGATTTTTGAGAAGGTTCCATGGGGTGCTGAAAAGAAGGTATATTCTTTTGTGTTAGGGTGTAATGTTCTGTAGATATCTATTAAGTCCATTTGAGGCATAACATCTGTTAGGCCCTTTATTTCTTTGTTAAGTTTCAGTCTGGTAAATCTGTCTTTTGGTGAGAGTGGTGTGTTGAAATCTCCCACTACTAATGTGTGGGGTTTGAAGTGTGTTTTAAGCTTTAGTAATGTTTCTTTTATGAATGTTGGTTGCCTTTGTATTGGGGCATAAATGTTCAGAATCGAGACTTCATCTTGGTGGATTTTTCCTGTGATAAATATGTAATGTCCATCCTGATCTCTTTCAATTGACTTTAGTTTGAAGTCTATTTTATTAGGTATTAGGATAGCTACACCAGCTTGTTTCTTAGGTCCATTTGCTTGGAAAGCCTTTTCCCAGCCCTTTACTCTGAGGTAGTATCTGTCTTTGAAGTTAAGGAGTGTTTCTTGTATGCAGCAGATGGATGGATCCTGTTTTCTTATCCATTCTGTTAGTCTGTGTCTTTTTATAGGTGAGTTGAGACCATTGATATTGATGGATATTAATGACCAGTGATTGTTAATTCCCGTTTTTTTGTGTGGTAGTGTTGCGTTTTCCTTCTTTGGTATTTGTTGGTGTGGGATTTTCTATTGCCTGAATTTTCATGGGTGTGTTTAGCTTCTTTGGGTTGGATTTTTCCTTCTCGTGCTTTCTGTAGGGCTGGGTTTGTGGACAGGTATTGATTGAATCTGGTTTTATCATGGAATATTTTGTTTACTCCGCCTATGGTGATTGAGAGTTTTGCTGGGTATAATAGTCTGGGTTGGCATCCGTGGTCTCTTAGTGTCTGCATAACATTTGTCCAGGACCTTCTAGCTTTCATAGTCTCTATTGAGAAGTCTGGTGTTATTCTGATGGGTTTGCCTTTATATGTTACTTGGTCTTTTTCCTTTGAGGCTCTTAATATTTTTTCTTTGTTCTGTATGTTTAGTGTTTTGAGTATTATGTGGTGAGGGGACTTTTTTTTTTTTTGATCCAGCCTATTTGGTGTTCTGTAAGCTTCTTGTATCTTCACAGATATTTCTTTCTTTAGGTTAGGAGAGTTTTCTTCTATGATTTTGTTGAATATATTTTCTGTGCCTTTGAGTTGGTATTCTTCTTCTTCTATCCCTATTATTCTTAGGTTTGGTCTTTTCATGGTGTCCCAAATTTCTTGGACGGTTTGAGTTATAACTTTTTCGTCTTTAGTGTTTTCTTTGACTGACGAATCTATTTTCTCTACTGTGTCTTCAGTGTCAAAGATTCTCTGTTCCATCTCTTGCATTCGGTTGGTTATGCTTGCTTCTGTAGTTCCTGTTCATTTAGTCAGGATTTCTATTTCCAGCATTCCCTCAGCTTGTGTTTTCTTTATTGTCTCAATTTCATTTTTCAGATCTTGGAATGTTTCTTTCATCTGTTTAATTACTTTTTCTTGGCTTTCTTTGATTTCTTCCAATTTTTTGTTTGTTTTTTCTTCCATTTCTTCAAGGGAATTTTTTATTTCCTCTTTAATGGAGTTTTTCATTTCCTCTTTAAGGGAATTTTTTATTTCCAACTCCTCAGCTGATCTTGTTTCCTCAGACTGCAGACTGTAGGATTCTGAATCCTCTCCCGGATGGATTTCGGCTGAGCAGGGTAGTCTCACCAACACCTCCAAGTTGTTGGGTTTAGCAGATCAGCAGCTGAGCCCTGGGTTTGCCTCAGACAGTGTGTTCAGATCCGTTCTGGTCTCCTCCCACAAAGACAGCTCCTTCCTCAGATGTTGGGATTAAAGGCATCCCTGTTCCAAGCTCTTGATTAAGAGTTTGTTTTTGCTGGGCGGTGGTGGTGCACGCCTTTAATCCCAGAACTCGGCAGGGAGAGCCAGGTGGATCCCTGTGAGTTGGAGGCCACTCTGGGTTACCAAGTGAGTTCCAGGAAAGGCGCAAAGCTACACAGAGAAACCCTGTCTCAAAAAAACAGAAAAAAAAAAAAAAAAAAGAGCTTGTTTTCACTAACTCTTCTCTGATTTCCTGTCTTAACATTCTTTTAAACTATATATATTTTTTAATTTTTATTTTTATTTTGCAATACAATTCAGTTCTACATATCAGCCACGGATTCCCTTGTTCTCCCCCCTCCGACCCCCCTCCTATTCCCCTCAGCCCACCCCCCATTCCCACCTCCTCCAGGGCAAAGCCTCCTCCGCGGACTGAGATCATCAACCTGGTAGACTCAGTCCAGGTAGGTCCAGTCCCCTCCCCTGTCTTAACTTTTAAATTCTTTTAATTATCCCTCTGGTAAATAAAAAGCTTTTCTTTCTTTCTTGTTTTCCACAATAAACTTTATTATAAAAACAGGCTGGTGTGGGGACAGAGGAAAAGACAAATAGGTCTGGGTTAGGTGACTCAGGTGAAGTAGTGCGGCTTCTTCACCTCGATACCATATTCTCTGAGGGCAGGGGTCAAGTCCTCCATGGTAAGGGTGTACTTGCTGTCCTTCCTCTTGCTCGGAGAGCTGCCAGAGGCGGCGGCCTTCATTTTGCAGTGCTGTAGGGCATCGTTGGCAATATCTGAGATGAACTTCTGGGCAGCTAGTGAGATGAGCCGAATTATGCGTGGGTCTGAAGCTTCAAAGCCAGCACGGTTCAGGTAATAACCAGTCACTGCATCCGGGATCGTAGGAGTGTAATCCTCCAGCTGCATCAAGAGGTCCGCCAGAGGCGTGCTGGACGCTACGGGCTTCACTTCTCGGTTGGCCTTGCTCGGCAGCGCATAAACCCCCTTAGACATTGCCCCTTCGGGATGAGCCCTGCCGCCCGCTGCCACCGAGGCCTGCCCAGGCCGCCTCTCGGCAGGCTCCCTGGCTCGCGATGCCATGGGGCCGGTGGCCCTAGTAGCGGCTCCAGCCCCGGGTCCCCCTGCCGTCCCCGCAGGGCTGGCCTTGCTCTCCGAGGCAGTGTTGGTGGTGGGCAGCACGGCAGAAGCCAATACCGGGCGCGCCTGACCCGCGACCGAGGCGGCACACGCTGCTGCCGCCTCGGGGTCCTTACCGGAGCCGCTGCAGCTCTTGGTGCTGGTGGGAGAGGCGGTGAACCAGGCTTTTGACATTTTTGACAAACCTTCCCAAGATCAGATCCTCTGTCTAAAATCCCTTTGAGGCAGGGCGGTGGGGCAACACTCCTTTAATCCCAGCAGTCGCAGTCGGGAGGCAGAGGCAGGAGGATCTCTGAGTTTGAGGCCAGCCTGGTAAGACACTCGTTCCAGGTCTTCCAGCGGCAGCAGGGGTAAGACAGTCACTTCAGGTTCCAATGCTCACAGTGTCTTGCCTAGCTATTCTGACCCTTATATCCACGTCTCCTTGGCTTTCCCTTTGGAGCCCCACCTCTTAGACACAAGCTGCCACCTGATTGGATGAGGAAGTTCTCACCCACATAATCTAACTATTTGGGATTTTGCATCAGTAATTTGAGTGAATCAGACCATACTTTGGTAATGGATGAAATCTGAGATGATGGTCAAGGTCCCAGGTTCATTCATAATATTCCTCCTCAAACTCTGAGCTCTAGGATTCATCCTCTTATTTACATTATTACTTTGGTAGATTTTTTTTTTTTCCATTTAATGTCTCATACTATACCTTAGGCCCATCTGGAACTCTTACTGTACTCTGAGCCCACCTGTATGGGTCTCAGGAATCCTCCTGTCTCAGTAGACCATATGTAATCAGGTATGTCGAGACTGATTAGATTTCCATGCAGAATAGAGAATGAATTGAGACCACTTTGAAGACAACGTCCCAAATGCAGAGTCACTGTACAAACACAAAGGCTTGCTTCTCTGTGGTGATATTGTGTTCCCCCAAATATTGTGCACCCTAATAAACTTATCTGGGGTCAGAGAACAGAACTGCCACTAGATAGACAGAGGCCAGAAAATGGTCACATACACACCTTTAATCCTAGCATTCCTAAGGCAGAGATCCACCCGGATCTCTGTGAGTTCAAGCAGAAAGGTATATAAGGTGTGAGGACCAGAAACTAGAAGCTTTTGGCTGGTTAAGCTTTTAGGCTTTTAAGCAGCACTCAGCTGAGATTCATTCTGGATAAGGACTCAGAGGATTCCAGTCTGAGGAAACAGGATTAGCTGAGGAATTGGCGAGATTCCTGCTCCACTCCTCCCTCCCTCCCTGCCTCCCTCCCTGCCTCCCTCCCTCCCTCCCTTCCTTCCTTCCTATCTAGAGTAGGATACACCCAGGACCTGTCTGGACAACAGCAACAAAAAGCCTCAGAGGAGCAGCCAAGGTGAGGTCTGTGGATGGCCCCCAAACAGCTTGACCACACAGCCACCATGACAGGCTTAGAGGCCCAGACACAGCTTCTGACAGGCAACCTCTGAACCCAGAAAAGCCATAAACTGACCCCACCCAGTGGGGGGCCTACATCTAAGAGGAAATGCCTGACATTCCAAACATTCCCTATACCCCTAGACAAATGTCACCCAATCAGGACCCTGAACCCTGGAAATCCCCTCACCCCACACTGCCTTGGCTCTGGGTTCTCTGTTCTCCCTGATGAATTGGACAGACACTTTAAGCTGCAAGCTTGAAATAATAAAGGCTCTTTGGTTTTCATACGGGATTCTTCATAGTGGTCTTTTGGGGGTCCCTGCAATCTGGGCATAACAAAGTCCAGTGTCCTGAAGCTGGGGTGGGGGAGACTGGGGAGCACTGCTCGACCTCCCGTGGATCTCAGCTCTATGAAACTGGTCTACATCTTCAGACAGTGACCACAGGGAGATACCACTCAATATTCCCTCAGGCAGTCAAGTAGCCTGAGGTGACCCATAGATATTTCTCCTTCTTCTTCTTCTTCTTCTTCTTCTTCTTCTTCTTCTTCTTCTTCTTCTTCTTCTTCTTCTTCTTCTTCTTCTTCTAAGATTTATTTATTTATTATGCATATAGTGTTCTGTCTGCACATATCCCTGAAGGCCAGAAGAGGGCACCAGATCTCATTACAGATGGTTGTGAGCCACCATGTGGTTGCTGGAAATTGAACTCAGGACCTTTGGAAGAGCAAGCAGTGCTCTTAACCTCTGAGCCATCTCTCCAGGTCCTAGATATTTATTCTTGATTTCTCAGATGAACATATTTAAGATCTGGTATTGAGCCATCTTGAGTTGTATACCAGACAGGCCAAAGCAGGAAGATTGCAAGATCATGGCCTGCTGTGGATATCGTTCTGTATAAAGAAAACACTGATTGGCCAGTGGCCAGGCAAGAAGTATAGGCGGGACAAGGAGAGAGGAGAATTCTGGGAAGTGGAAGGCTGAGTGGGAGTCACTGCCAGTCACCGCCATGACAAGCAGCATGTGAAGATGCCATGACAAGAAGCATGTGAAGATGCCGGTAAGCCACGAGCCACGTGGCAAGGTATAGATTTATAGAAATGGATTAATTTAAGATATAAGAACAGTTAGCAAGAAGCCTGCCACAACCATACAGTTTGTAAGCAATATAAGTCTGTGTTTACTTGATTGGGTCTGAGCGGCTGTGGGACTGGCGGGTGACAGGGATTTGTCCTGACTGTGGGCCAGGCAGGAAAACTCTAACTACAATGGCCTAGCCTTGTGTGTTATGCCCAGGGCTCTAGTTCTAATTTTGCCCTTATCCCATTCAAGATTATCAGAAAAATTGAATAGACAAACAGTATTCTGAATCTTAACTTACTTAAACTAAATCACCTCAGCCAGCAAGATGGCTCCTGATAAAGGTGCCTGCCCTACCTGAGTTAAATTTTTAGAACCAATACAGTTAGTGGAAGGAGAGAGTCAGCTCACACAAGTTGTCTCCTTGCCTACACATACAAATTAAATATGTAGTAAACCGGTTGACTATCTTATGTCAGGCAAAAGTCTTCCACTAGTCTTAATGGCCTCTAAAGCCACTCCTGTACAAACACCAAAACTGGTCAATTCTAGTAGCTCAGGCCTTTAATCCCATCACAGGTGGGACAGAAACAGGTGGATTTCCATGAGTTTGAGGCCATCCTGGTCTTCTTAGTTTTTTCAGCCCAGCTGGGGGTGAAGCAAATATCTAAGTGGACTCCTCTTGAAGACCCCTGACTTTGATGATGAACTCAGTGTCTCCCTTGCCCTTCCTGGCTCTAATATGATCAGCTTCAAGGCTTTGGTACACTCCTCAGGAACAGATTTCAACCAGCATAACGACCTACCAACAAATGTGAGACAATCTCTGAGCTTGAGCCTGAATCAAGCATTTCTTTACTTCTTTGGGGCTGAGGAGCCAACCCAGGACTTTGAATATACTGAATCTGTTCATCATCACTCAGCTGTATGCAAAGCCACTTTTCTCAAGCCACCTTGTACAGTACCATGCCAGCTGATATCAAATGGGCAATATATATCAGTAAGCCTTCCCCTAGATTCAGGCCACATCATTCAGTAGACACTTGCCTAAGATGCTCAAACAAGACTCCATCTGACATAGGTTTTGTTTTGTTTGTTTTTTTAGACAGGCTCTGACTATGTGGACCAAGCTGTTTTAGAACTCACAGAGATCTACTTGGCCCTGCCTTGCAGGGATTAAAGGCCTGCCCCACCACACCAGGCCTAAGCATTGGTTTTGTTTTGCACTAAAGTATTCAAACTTACGCTTTTATTTCTGTTCAACTGAACATCCCATAGTCCACTATTAAGTTATAGTCACTCAGTAACCCGAGCAACACGAAGTATGGTCTCCATATGTCTTAAGATGAATGAGCTGACTCTGGTAGCACAGGGTGGCAGGATGTGCTTGAAGATCTGGAGGCAGGAGTTGAGGTTGGTGAGAGACAGCTCAATGGGGGAAGGTCTTTCAGTCAAGCCTGAGTTCAATCCCTAGGACCCACAAGCTGAAAGGAGGAACCAGCCCCTGCAAGTGCCATGTGCACGTTATGGCAGACACAGAGTCCCCACCACCCCCCCCCCAAAAAAAATGAATCCAATAATCTTTTTTCAAAAGATAAACGAGAAGAATCTAGAATCAGAAGCAGCTCTCACATACATTTGGAGAACAGTTCAGGAAGCTGGGTTGAGAAAAGGCTTGGATCCTTGACAGGACACTTGGCACTGGGAGGGAGCTAGAGAAGCAGAGGGTGGCCTCTGATGAACCTTGGTTTCATTTCAGGCCATTTAACTTTGTGCATGGAGGACCTTAAGACTGAGGTGGAATCTTGGGCAATGTTCTGGCTTCCTCTGTCACACTCTTTGTATTGTTGTTGGGAATAAGATAACAAATTCAACATACCAGTGACTCTGTCTTCCACATATAGAAGCTGTGGCCCACACATGACCACACTCATACAGATAGGCACACAGAATAAACAAATATAACCAAAAATAAATAAAGAGGACAAGGCATGGTGACTCATACTTTTTCTTTTTTTTTTTCTATTATCAGCTTGATACAGTACAAATTCTTATCCTAATAGTGAAATGTTTCACTGAAGCTTGCCTAGTGATTGAGTAAACCAAAACTTATTATAAGCCACAGTCATCCTAGGGTCCCCCCCTGCTATGTAGCCTCCCTGGTTTTGTGGGTTGCAGTCTGATTGTTCTTTGCTTTATATCTAGTATCCACTTATGAGTGAGTACATACCATGTTTGTTCTTCTGGGTCTGAGTTACCTCACTCAGGATATTTTCTAGTTCCATCCATTTGCCTGCAAATTTCATGCTGTCATTGTTTTTCTCTGCTGAGTAGTACTCCATTGTGTATATGTACCACATTTTCTTTCTTTCTTTCTTTTTTTTTTGTTTTTTGTTTTTTGTTTTTCAAGACAGGGCTTCTCTATGTAGCTTTGTGCCTTTCCTGGAACTCACTTGGTAGCCCAGGCTGGCCTTGAACTCACAGAGATCCACTTGGCTCTGCCTCCCGAGTGCTGGGATTAAAGGTATGCGCCACGACTGCCCGGCCATACCACATTTTCTTAATCCATTCTTCAGTTGACGGGCATCTAGGTTGTTTCCAGGTTCTGGCTATTACAAATAGTGCTGCTATGAACATAGTTGAGCATGTATCTTTGTAGTAAGATTGAGCATTTCTTGGGTATA